GGTTAATGACGTAACTAATATAAACTCTTCTCTTCTGAAGCGATCACGTGGAGGTTGGGCGGCACTATACCTTAATACGGCCCTGAGCATAGTATCAAAAATATTGAAAGGGTTTCCTGCCTTAATATAGTATGACCAAAAGGCATCCACGCCATAAAATAATGTATGAAATAGGTCAAACGTCTTATATGTACGTCGTATTAGGATGATGAAATTTCAAAGCTTAAGAGTACAATAATATCTTAATTTTTGTGTAAAATTATAGCGATTAACTAAACTTTTTTTTCTGCTTTAGTTCGTAACCATTCATACCAAACGGTTTAAAACGTTAAAATGGCATAATAACACCGGATGCTGTGTGGACAATGGCATGACGTTACCAAAAATAAAACTGGTTCTTCTAAGAAGTGTAATCGAACGTTCATGGTTTTCTAGTGCGCCTATTAATAAAGGAATTAAAAAATCATATTTATTAACGTTACGTTATGTTGCTGCACCAAAAATAAAAGATTAATTAAAATTCGTGAGAAAACATAAAATCCACGATATTCTCAGTATCAATGCGTCATGTAGTTTATACACATACACGGGTAGTGACGGTTAGTAAGCCGGATACCTGCACGATGGCTAATGTAACGTAAACATTAACATCAAGAACGGTGCGTCCTATTTTCCCGTGTAAATTTCATTCATTCTGTGTCACTTTTCAACAGGTTTAGAAAAAGGAAGGCGAAACTAGCAGCTCTTCTCAAATATCAGCCGAGTTAGTTGCAAAATTATACAAACTGTAACCCAGCCCTTAACGCTTTAAATTTAAGTCGTGTGTTTTGAAAAATCTTAAGGTAAAAAGTACGGTATACGCCATTTTAAGCGTTGACGGCAACAGAAATATAAGATGACACTGCAAAAAAATAGGTTACTACGTATCTCGCTTTAGTTGTTAGCACATACACAGTAACTGGTTTTCAGTATGTATCACTGCATATTACTTAAATCAAAAGTTATTCTGCCTATACAACATCTTACAATATTGTCAACAGTCACTATCCTGCTTAGGTAAGCGAAACGCGTGAAGGCATTCGTTTTACTTTTAGTCACAAAACAATAAACTCGCTAGTCACAGCCAACACCATGTACAGTATTACCAGTAAATAACACTAGCCACAATCTCAATATACACTAAATAATCACAGCAAGAGACATGCAAAACGGTTACACCCCGATATTCCGAAAGTTGAATGTAGAAGAAATTACTCATGTAGGCCTAACGTTCATTGATATTGTTATATTACATAAACAACAGTATGTTATATCAGGGAAATATGCCGATAACATTTTGAGGTATATTTGTAATCATTTCAAAAACCTATATTATTGTTACTCGTAATTAAATATTTTTAATGTTTTGAAAATAATGTCAAAAATCGCATCATAATAATATCATTATTATTAGACATTCATGATGTTAGAAAAAACACGTAGGTTCAAGAAGTCTTGATAGAAATGAAAAAAAAAAACTATAACCCGATCGCTTTCGAAAGGTGGATCTTTCTTCTTCGAAAGCACTTGGGTTATAGGTTTTTTTTTCATTACTATCAGACAAACAGGATGAAAAAGTTGAATAACATTAAGTAGAATAAAGCAAACTCCAGTAATAGTAGCCTAAATTTTTTTCGGAATACAAGT